TGTACTTAGGTATATACAATTGTTAAATTATACTTACTGGGCTTGATTGATGGCCATTCTTCACGTTCAAACCGAACATCTTCAAATTCGATTTTCAAATAAGACAAGAGAAACCTGATAGGCTCTGCCAGGGCAGGAAAATTGAAGTAAGTGAGTTTGTATGCTGCCATTTCTTCTGCTGAAATTCTATTTATTAATTTCAAAATTAGTCTTAGTTTTTGACTATACTCAGTGATATTTGTACGTAATTTACGCAAATTAGTCAGAGTACAATTAATTGAAAAATACTTACAAGAAAAAAAGTTTGAATATTAAGTTGACGAACGGATATCGAAGAAAAAACTGTGATCACTACTGTGTGGTTGGACTGTAATTATTACAATAATTCTGTAACTATGTCCAGCTGCTCTTTCATATACTGCCAGTGGATGAGCAAAAACACATAATATTATACCACGGGCTCCTATAATAATCAAACCCACTAGTCGAGTATTTTGGCTGTTATATGTATTGTCAGTTATTTTTTTTATTTAGACTAACCGGTTAGACGAGTACACAATTTTCAAGGTTTTTCGCGTTTATCCTGTGTTAGTATTTTCATGGATGATGGTTATTGGTGCAAAATCGGAACATTTTATTTCTAACATAATTTTTAAAAATATTGTTTATTATAGGTTATTCGTGGTCATAATTAATTAATATAACAACACTTGACCACTTGAAGAGTTTTCAGTTTCCACGAATCTTTCGTGTTGCAGCCGGATCTAAAAAATAATTATAAATTTAAAAAATATTGAAAAAAAAACCAAAAACCTTCTCCTTTAGAAACATAAAAATGTTTTTACAGCTATATGCATGCGAGAAACTACTAGAACGATTTCAATAAAAATTGTATCAATAGATTCTGTAGTATCGTGAATAATAATATTATATGTTGTGGCCTATACTGCTGAGTTTTAATTGAGATCAATAAAAAATATAGATACCTTGTATTAAGCTTTTAATACAATTACAAATTAAAATGTGTAGCAATACAAAATATTAGTAGTTAACACTAGGTTCAGATAATAAGTAATAACTAGGTAATAAAATAACACTTAGTATAATTTAACGATTAGTGATTAAGTAGAATGTAAATATAAGTTAAACTTTATACCAATATTATTAATATCACATCTAATATCTATCGTATAATTGGTGTTAGAATAATATGTTTAGACAGAAAAAAGGTCAGTGGGGGTGATCGTGTGACTCGATTTCCACCATACATTAGTGTTTGATAAAGGTACTTACAATGTTGTTTGTTCATTTATTGTGTACCTACGTCCAAAGTTTGTGCTACACGACAATTGTTTGAGATATTGAGGGTATTTCCAGCTTCTTTTAAACAGTTTTTAATAATCTATATGTATTATTCTAGATTACTAGAGGTACTCGATGCTTAAAGTGACATAATTACGTGAACTTATGCAAACTAAAATGAATTACATAGTTTTATAAGGTACTTCATTTTATTTCTGTTCATTTTTGCATGGTGCGAAATCAGGTTGTACAATTAGTGTTGAAAAAACCTTAATTAATCAATCAATCACATAATGAATAATAATCAATTACCTATTATTAAAATGGACTTAAAATTATGATGTTGTGTACAGGCATAGAACCCTATAATGTTCAATTTCGTAACTGGGTTTTTAATAAGTAGTTATTATTAATTTGTTTTATTAAAATATGTTGTATAAAAGGTTTATTTATAAATATATGTATAAGTATAATATATCTATTAGATTTTTCATATTCATCATAAGGTTACAATACAAATTTTAAGCAAAATAATACACAATTTACTTGTTATTATATTCCTAAAAATCAAAACTATTATTTTTATATTTCGTAAATCATAAACGTTATCAACTGCGAATCAAACTGTAAAATTTACCAATCGTTGTGACCTGCTAATCTAGCTTTTTTCGATAAATAACGGCATAATATGGCTGTTGATTGATTCAATATTTTACCATCGATTTCTAAAATTGAGACTTAACCTCTTTAAAACAAATAAAGTAAATCCAAATTATACAATACATTTTTTAAATATATACTAAGTATACCGTATACTGTATATGTTTATAATATTAAACAAAGTGTCAACATACATAAATTAACTTTATTTTATAAATCGAACGAATAAAAAAAAATGTTTTCAATTATTATTGTATAAATGGCAAATTGCATTTGGCCACAACAGAAGTCATTCAATATTTATTGTGGCTGGAAAAAAAAGGTTTGACAACACAATGTAACATTTATAATTTATTATTATTCAATGTAATATTTAATAATAGACAAATTAGTTTTTTCTTACGTCTTGATGTAGACTCTACACTTTTAAAGTAATAGAAAATTGTTATTGTGTTCGTTCTATTTTAGCTGTTATTTTTTTTTTTTTTAAATATATTATCATACTTATATTAACATAATAAAGTACATAATAAAGATAAAATCAATAACGACTGGCTACTACATTAAATTTTAAATTAATATTCAACTTTTTACTAACTTCTAAAAATTAATTGATGTATGCATTTAAATATTTATAATTGTTTTATTTTGCATTACTTATGACAATCGAATAACTGTCCATATAGCTTTAATTATGTCAACTAACGAAATGTAAGTATTTATTTGATAATGCTTAATAACTTACTAGGTTTGATTGATGGTCATAATCGATTTCCAAAGAAGACAAAAGCCAACTGATCTGGCCTGGATTCTGCCAGTGAAGGGAAATTGAAGAACGCTAGTTTGTAAATAGACGTTTTCCTGTTTGAATTAATTTTGAAATTGTTTTTACTAATTTTGTTCAATTTGATTGAATATTTATTTTTAATAAAATATCTTGGAGTAGCAAGTAATTGATTCTCAATGGTAGTATTCAAGCGTAGTTTGAAAAAAAAAACGGAAAACGATTAATTTTAAAATGCAATTAATTGGAAAATACTTCCAGTAAAAACCTTTCAATATTAGTATGTCCAACGAATGATTTTTAAAAACAACGGTAAACAATACTGTGTCGCTGGACAGTAATAATTATTCAATAATTTTGTTACTATGTTCAATGTTCAATAATTGTTGTACATACTGCAAGATGCTAAGAATTAAAACATAATACACTACCTGTTGGCTGTTACAAATCATTAAACCTACTAGTTACTTATGGCCGTTGTTTGTATGACTGTATTGTTCTGTACCATCATAGACTTTTATTTGAAATAGCTTCAAATATATTATTATAATATTTTATATCAATAAGAATGTTTCGACATTCTTCTCTGAGGCCCCTGCAAACTCTATTCATTTTTCATCAAATCGACCTTAGCGACTGACAAAAATTTAAGTACTTCTAGTTTTTCGATTTAAAAAATGTAAAGATGTTTTAATCGGTCAACAAGTCTACTTTGCATCGGTTGGACCATATATTTTATATTTTTTATATTTTTGAAGATGTTCAATACTAAAAATTTATAAATTAATAAAATGTAAAAAATGTATTCTCGTCAAGAATTTTTCTAAAATTGAAAAAGTGCTCCGACCGATGCAAAGTAAACTTGTTTACCAACACAAACATTTTTACATTTTTTAAATCGAACCACTAGAAGTACCTTAATTTTTGTCAGTGCGACGGCTATTTCACGTCCATAAATTGGTTTTGAATATTTTGATCTAGACATTGAATGACTTGTGCGTGTGCTTGCGTGCGACCATAAATCAGATAAGAAATAACAATGTATTGTAAATTGATGCGATTTGCGGGTGATGGTAGGGGAGTATACACACACTAATTATCATTTACTACACACACAAGGACGATCAGTAATCGAAGGAACGAAATAATTGCCTAAACACAACTCCTTAAAAATGACACATTTGCAGGGGCCTTAAGTATAATATTATACATATCATGTATCTGTATTGCATATACGTCGCGCCGTGTAAATCACAATTACCGAAGAAAATGGTAGATGAACATAATATTTTTCTATAATCACTGACCAATTGAAAATGCTGTGGACATACATACACGAGCAATGCATACATTTGTTTGTCGGATATATTGACCACAGTAAATGGTCTATTGTATCGACTGTGGTAAAATTCGGTTACCATGGTTCAAATTGATGTGGTTTAATGGTATATTTTTGAGTGGGTAACCACTATATACTTCGTCATCCATCTGTCAACATTACAGTCAGTCTTAAAAAAAAACTCTGTCTTCAACAGACAGTGACTGTTCACATATATCTTAGGAAGAAACTAGAAGTTTACTAATTTGATACAAAAAATCACTATCAATATCGAAGATTAGAACAAATATTCTGCTCCAAAACGTAATGGTAATTACTAGACACATAAAAACACACTGACCCATCATTGTAAAACTATAAAACCAATATATTTCCTACTACTCTCAAAATGAAAAACTACAAATAAACAAGTTTACGACATTTTTTGTTCTTGTTTTTACAAAGAAATCGACTCCAACTGTCTACTTGAAACAATTTTACTCCAATGATTCTTCGTCATTTTTAATAATTTTTATATTAGATATTATAAAAATATAATATAAGAACATAAGATGAACACTTATGAAGAATAACCCCTCAAGTTATTTTCTGTTTGGACATAAGTAAACTGAAGTTGTACTTAAAGTCTTAAACTGATCGGATTTAAAATATGAATGATTGAAATTATATAGCAGTAATTCAAGTGCAATAAATAAATGTTACACAATTTTTATTGTATAAAAACATACAGTATTGTACATATAATTTACTTATTATTCAACACAATTTCGATATTATTCCGGGGTGACATTATTTATTCTAATACCTAAAGACCTTTATTGAAATACTGAATTTTTTAGCATACTGCAGCTAATGTAACCAATCAGCTAAAATGTATGAGTACAATAAAATAAAATACATTATTATATTAATACATTACAACCAAAAAATCAAAAAAAATTAATATGAAAAACCTAAATCATGTATAATCCGGTCAAAGTAAACATTTAACTTCGGAATAATTTACATAGAGCTGAAAATTGGTACCCACATTAAGTACCTTTTCGCAAATAAAATCTCAACAATCATCATCGATCCTACTGCCGTTAAATTTTTTATTCATGGTCAAAGGTCACAAAATAGGTTTTTTTTTCGTTTATCTCTTAAACTTCAAGTGTTTTACGGAAAAACAGCGAAGACAAAATTTGTAGATCGAGTAATTTTCCAAAAAAATTGTATCTTTATATTTTTATCTAAAAATAATACTTCATGATTTCAAAAACTATGAATGCTCGGACTTGGTATATATGAATAATAGTAATCGTTGGTGGATATTGTGGCTATCTGTGTCACTCACACATGAAAATATAAATAATATGATTCTCAATATCA